GTATGTTTAAAGTGTCACACCTCGATGAAGAGGCTACTAGACATGAAAAGTAGACCCAACTTACCGATCCGTTTAGTTTTTTGTCTTTTTCTGTCCCAAGATTTTACAGAGTTTTTTTTTAACATTTGCGGTCAACATTGTTTCTACTCATTAAATTATTCTCCCGCCCCCGCCGGGAGCAGGCGAAGCATATTAGTTGATTACATTATTTTAAACTTTGTTTTAGGGTTCATCGATTTATGTTGAATAAAACAAAAAAGTTCAAGGTCTCATGCAGTTTGCTTTTCTTTGAAATGACAGCTGAAATGAGCGAGATAATTACCTGGGAAACGTTTCTCGTACGACGTTACCTGTAAAAAGGAGTCGTTTCAGTCACAGGGAGCTACTTAAGGAACGACGACGGCAACGAAAACGGTAAAAAAGCAAAATAACAACAATGCACATGCATCGCCTTTTATTATACATTTCTTTGCCGTCGTTACACGACTCGCTACGACGTGAAACTTCCTAATTTTGCGTTTTATGTATAACGTGAACTCAAGAAAACGATTTTTCATTTTCTTTCTCTAACTATCAGACTTTCAGAATTTAATTCGTCAACATTTGAAAAGTTGAACGAGATGGAATAAGGGTGATTAAAATTGAAACAAACCGAGTGCCCTTTTTAAGTGACATTTTCGCTGTAGTCATCGTCATGACTGTTTAAGCTCTTTTTTAGCGGAGCCACTGCGCCTGCGTTCCATGGGTAAGAAAATGTGGCTTTCAAAACATATTTTGTCGTGACGTTAACGAACGTTCCACCCCACCATGTAAGGCTGTGTGAAATGTTACATGCATTTTCTCTGCAAAATTCAGTCGTTTCACACTTTAGCGGAGCCACTGCGCGCTACCCAATGGGAAAGAAAAAATGCTTTTAAAATGTTATAATAAAGGGAGCAGAAACCAATCGGTGTGAATGGCAGGAGTATATATTTTACAGAGACAACTACATTTTGTTAACTTAATGCATTTGGAGTGCTCACTTTACATCAAGCCTTTGTCTTCTGGAGTAGTCAATCTTGTTTTCCCTCTTCAAACTGGTTTTTTCGATTGCAAGCATCCGTTTATTGATAAACCAATGACCATAAACGAGCCCGCTGTAGCAAACGCACGGCTATTAGGCCTGGTCCCTAAACTATATCATACTCCATCTAAGATCTTACTCGATTCATGCAAGGGTTTTCTCAAGTACGCCAAAAGAGAGCAAGTGAAAGAAATGCTCTGCCGTGGCAGGATGGTCATAGATACTGATGAAGTACCCGGATTTTTCCTTTTACTAAAAAATCATATCTTCATCGCGCGCAGTGAAGATACTATTTTTATCTTTCACGTGTGAGGATATTAGTGTCGCCATGGTTACTAACATTAATTTTGACTTTTTGGAACAGGAAATATAAGTATTATTGTCTTTATTTCTTCTTTATAACTTTATATCCGAGTTTCATAACATTTTTGTGACAGGCATTTTGCGATAGGTGACCACTTTAATTGCACTATTTTGAGAGACACTTTCAGCACTCGAAGATAAAATTCGTATCCCCGCGCGGCCATGTAATATCCCCTACGTCTACCTTGCTACAAACATAATAGCAAGAAGAAGCGGGAGCAACAATCAAAAATATTCCAATAAAAACCAGCGTAGCGTAAACTGTTTAAACTTTTGATGACGCTGCCTTGAAATCAGTGACAATTTCTGGTTCAGTTTATTTTTAGATCATTTGCACGCTCACCAAACAAATCCCGCTAGCTACGCAGGCTAATTGATATATTACTTAAGCTTTTTATGGTTCGCAGGACGTCTGCAGTTTTTATCTCCTGGGAACAAATTTACCGTTTCCGGCAAAAAAGGTGCCCTTAGGAGTTCTTCAAGTTGGCGCACACTCATTTGTGTCTGGTACAGCTTGTTTCCATCCTTCTGGTTGTTGCTCATTACCGCGAAGGACTGGGCTTTTTTCGCCGGCCAAAACCTTCCAAACACCCTCCCAGGCTCCGTCCACACACAGCAGCCCGCTGTCCAAACAGAACGAGGGGTTTCAAGTCTCACTGTACCTCCGAGAAATTTATCCTTGACATAGGGCTTTGGTACGGTGCATGAAGTATCGTGAACAACTTTGTAACGGTTTTGAGGATCGGGTATAATGCCGTTCTCAGATCTTCCTGTCAGGAGATACAAGGTTCCATTTCTCGGACCACAAACTTTTTTCGCGTAATCTCGTATTTTTGTCTCAAAATCCTTCCAGGGGCCACTGTTTGATGCTTGAAACTGAGGTACTGCATTGGTAAGGGTGAATGTAGCCTTCATGAAGTTCAAATCAAACGAGTTTATTCCCAAGGGATTCATATGGCCTCTGCTTAGTGGTTTCTTATCCTTTGTGATTGCTTCTTTGTAAGCCTTGTCGACATCAGGATTACCTATGAACAACGATAGGTCATGTTACCTTTTTCAATTTTATTTTACCTCATTACATGAAATTTTGGCGACATGTTTGTTTAGCGATTTTGGAAAACCCTCATTTAGCGGCACTTTAATTAAGAGATTTGCCTTAAATTTTGTAACATAAGTCACTTTAAGATATTAAACGGCTGCTTGCTCCATGCAGTGATGCTATTTCTTTGTCCATATGCTACGCTATTTTGCTGGTCTTAGCTTGTTCTGTTTTCCGAAAAAACCAACCTAAATATATAGAGGTTTCGAACTTTTCTTTCATTCTGCCTTGGCATCGACTAGGATAAATTTATCATGAATGCTTTCGATTCTCGGTCGACAAGTGTCGGCCAACTGCAAAAGTATGCAGCACGTGCAAAGATTTTTTGTTTTCTAATTAGACCGGTTGTTGCCTTACTTTAACGAGATTGCAAATTATTCAAATTGCAGTTGAAAATCAGTGTAAGAAGAAAGCACGTGGTAATCCACTGCGCATTCTAAATCTCCCATTCGAGCATAGCCACAATTCCTTGCGAGTCTACTGCGCATCCCAAATCTTCCATTTGCACTTAACAAAATTCCTTGCGAGTCCATTGCGCATCCTAAATATTTCATTCGCGCATAACCAAAATTCCTTGCGAGTCCATTGCGCATCCTAAATGTTTCATTCGCGCATAACCAAAATTCCTTGCGAGTCCATTGCGCATCCTAAATGTTTCATTCGCACATAACCACAATTCCTTGCGTTTGGCAAGAAAACGTGATTCAATGCCCCTATAATGTGATTTTTTGCCGATTAGAGAGCTGCCTCGTTCGCTCGCTTCAGGCTCGCTCACTACGGCAGCAGTTTATTAAGAGAAACATCGGCGGATTTAGGGGCCGTCTGAGCATAAGGAGACCGAACTCCCTTTTTTCTGTGAAATCTTGCATCATTTTCAAACATTTTCCAGTAAAATAGATAATCTCTATAAATACATACCTTGAGGGTTTCTCCATTTACCATTTACATCCTTTCTTCCATATGTCCCAATTCTAACTGCTTGATCGCGAGTAACTTTATACGCTGAATAAAAAGGAGTATTCGTGCTTGGGTCAAAGAGAGAAAAATAACGAGCTGAAGTGCCAGCCGGATGCGTTTGAAGGGTGTCTATCCCACCAGAAATACCAGGAAGCCCCTCTGGTTTCCTGCCTCCCGCGAAAAATGGCAGTGGAAGAGCTCTTTTCCATGGCGAGGAGAGCTGAGATCCTTTCGTTTCCGTATGCGATTCTTCTAAAATCAATCGTATACATTAACTGTTAAGAAATTGCGCATTATGAAGAAAACCAGTGTATTATAATAATCTTCTTTTCAGGGGTTGCTGTAGCGGCCAGGAAAATAATTAAAACAACTGAAAATAAAAAAAAAATTAATAAGTTAATAAACCAATTTTCCACTATCTCGACAAGTTAAAAATTTATGTGCTTAGAACTGAGTCAGCTTATTGGTGAATTCTGTTGTATGGCTTAGTCGCTAAGTTGGTAAAGCGTCGCACCGGTATCGCAAATGTCACGGACGAGAATCTTTATCAGTATCATTATAGCATTATTTATAATTCCATCGACGTCTGATTTTTTTTTAGGCTGTTGCTATTATTATAATCCTTATCCACACTTCTCGGGGGAGGGGTGTGGTTGGTAGAATGGAGCTAATTTGGAGGAATCTGTACTCTTTTAATTAACACAACGAGAAAAGAAAAATCCAAGAGATAAAAGACCTCAGTTTTTCAAAGGTAACGTACAGTGCTATCAAACGAGAGAAATTTGCAAAAGTTAAGTGAAGTATTTAAAGCTAAGATTGCTACCGTTTCAACGTTGAAGGTGTAAGGTATTATCATACCCGTCTAGTTTACGAGACTTTCTGGAAGTTTACCAAAAAAGTTGAATTGTTGGCCTGAAACCCAAAGCTGGTGTTATTTTCAGCGCCATTTTCGTGTATGATTTTCCTTTGGCGCAAAGCATTTTTAACAGGAAAAAGCTCAAATATTTTGAGGATAATAAAAAAAATAGTTGCGTGAAAAATTACTGATTCTTACATCTTTGCCATTTTTTACACTTACTGGTTAATGAAATCCTATCATTAAAAACCAAAAACGCCTTAGAAGTTTGACTACGGTCATTAACTGGCCCGTGGATAATGTAATGAATTGAATGTATGCTTTCCTTAATATTTATCCACTGAACAGTGATTTATCCGGTGGATAGCACTATCTAACGTTTGAACATCGGGGCTAGATCTATGAGGAAAGAAAGAGGTTAGTTTCAGCTAAGCATAAAAGACAAATTATTAGACCTTTTTATTAATATTTTTCTTATCAACATCGACAGAAAAAGGAGAAATAGTTCTACCTCGAGGAAAATAATTTTAAAAAAATTACATTTCGTCTTTTATTTAGCTTTTAACAATTGTTCCATATTTATTCAACCTTACATTTTTAAACGGTATGTAAATTTCTTGAAGTAGCTAGCACTTACCAAGACCAGAGATATGTTTCGAAAATACAGTCGTAGCTACCACTAAGGTAGAAAGAACGAAATACCAAAGGATTGTTGACTTCATAACCATGCTNGTTTACCAAAAAAGTTGAATTGTTGGCCTGAAACCCAAAGCTGGTGTTATTTTCAGCGCCATTTTCGTGTATGATTTTCCTTTGGCGCAAAGCATTTTTAACAGGAAAAAGCTCAAATATTTTGAGGATAATAAAAAAAATAGTTGCGTGAAAAATTACTGATTCTTACATCTTTGCCATTTTTTACACTTACTGGTTAATGAAATCCTATCATTAAAAACCAAAAACGCCTTAGAAGTTTGACTACGGTCATTAACTGGCCCGTGGATAATGTAATGAATTGAATGTATGCTTTCCTTAATATTTATCCACTGAACAGTGATTTATCCGGTGGATAGCACTATCTAACGTTTGAACATCGGGGCTAGATCTATGAGGAAAGAAAGAGGTTAGTTTCAGCTAAGCATAAAAGACAAATTATTAGACCTTTTTATTAATATTTTTCTTATCAACATCGACAGAAAAAGGAGAAATAGTTCTACCTCGAGGAAAATAATTTTAAAAAAATTACATTTCGTCTTTTATTTAGCTTTTAACAATTGTTCCATATTTATTCAACCTTACATTTTTAAACGGTATGTAAATTTCTTGAAGTAGCTAGCACTTACCAAGACCAGAGATATGTTTCGAAAATACAGTCGTAGCTACCACTAAGGTAGAAAGAACGAAATACCAAAGGATTGTTGACTTCATAACCATGCTAGATTTTGCTGCGATAGAGCAAGTTTAAAATGAATAAACATAACAAAATGAATAAATTTTAAGTAAACCGCCGAGTAGTCTTACGTCATTGCTTTGAGATTAGCTTTTAAAAGGTCAAGTTATTCGGCCACGGGCTTAAAAGCTTAAGTTTCGATCTATAAAGAGTTGGATCAAATGAGATGAAGAATATAATGGTATTTCCTACCAGGAATGAAAAAGAAATCATTTTTTTCCCCTGATCTTCTGCGATAAATCTAGCAACCGAAAAGCTGAGACGATAATACGTAAACGGATTATCAAAACAGGATATATAATTAGGTTAACAGGCATGTTGCATTATGAATAACAAATATTCCTCATCAATTAGCTTCAATTATAAGCTTTAATGGATTTAACATAAATAAATGACGACCATTTTCAATGCCCTTTTGAAGACACCTGAATGGCTTAATTTTTATGGAGAAAATTTATCACGTTTTTAATCTGTTCAGCTGCCTCAAATCTGAAGTTCTTTCTAAAAGTCATTCTAGAAAAGATATAGTTTATATTCAGTCACTTGAGGGAATCTAGACAAAGATACTGAAATAATTCTGCAACAGTCGAGAGCAAAATAGACATTCACCGCGTTCATTCTTTTAGTTGGCGATAAAAGAAAGGAATAAATAGCATTGCCCCAAGGGGAAAAAAGAAGGAAAAGTAAAGATAAGAAAATAAAATAGAGGACGAATTCGACTACGAACGAGATTTGACTTGAAGTTTTTTCCTGTCGAAAAATAATAACATTTCTAACATTCGACTACTTCTTGTTTCCGTCACTACGACATTCTCAGTCAAACTCGATGTGGAATGACGACGGCTATCACAGTTTCCCGCCAAATGATACTGGTTCAGGCGCGCGCGCACTACTTCAAAATCTCCTCCCAGTATTCGTCCTCGTGACCTCGTCTTTAATAGAATCTAAAGGTCATTAACGTTACTAATGGACCAACTAGTCTATCTTGACCTCGCGCTTGGTCAATTACTCATATCGGTCTCGTCTTTTTTAAAGGCTTTAAATAAGGCTGTTATTTTAGGTGCTTCCCCTTAATCTTTTTATGAAAAAAAATACATATATGTAGTCGCTGCTGAGAAATGCGCTCATAAATCTCAGAAACTGATCATGAAATCATTAAATTATAGTACTTTATATTTTCACTTCTTCTTTTAAGGTCGTTGAACGTCCGAGTTTAATGAAAACTTATTGTCTATTGCAAAACACCTGTTGCTTAAGAAATGATCGCAGTGAAGGTTATTTATGCTCAGTTGGTAGAGCATTGCACCGGTAAATCGCGAGGTCACGGGTTCAAACCCCGTTGAAGTCCTGAATTTTTTTCAGGCTTCTTTACGCAATTGCGCATGAATTGCGTTCACTGCGACGATCATTTCTTCATTTTCAAAATATACTTTTTCGTGACGTCAACGAACGTCCACGCCACTATGTAAGCCAGTGTGAAATGTTACACGCATTTTCTTTGCAAAATTCAGTCGTTTCAAAATTTACCAGAGCTACTGGGCGCTACCCAATGGGTAAGAAAATATGTTTTTTTTTAAATTTCTAGTGGGCCGTAGCACGAGGAGCCGCAAGCAGTAAAATTTCTGTCCCGTAATTTAATCAGTTAAATCATCAAAGTTGACAAGTCTTTCTGATGATCAAAGCGACCGTTCGGTTTACCATTTACACCTTCAGTGCGAAGACTGTCACGGGAAAATTAACACCTTCAGGATAATTGCTTACCATAACAATGGTAGGTCGCGTGCGTCTGGTCGGTTTCGAAGAACGTCATCGTGACTGTTGTTTTCATTCATTGACTGTGCGCGATGATATGCCAACGTTTAAAACAGACTGCAACATTAAATTTTTGTTATAAAAGCAAAGAAACTGCTGAGTAGAAACTAAACCGTCCCAAACTTATTCCGCTTCATTCGTGTAATTTCATATTGATGGGATGATGAATTTACTTCTCCCTTCTAATCAGGCACGCAAACAACATAGATTTAAAACATTTCATTTTGCTTTTGTGGAGTAAATTCATCTTAAAAAAGTTAAACTAGAGGACCACTTTCTCCGCGTACTTGTAAAAATAGGCATTTAATATGTCGCGCTACAGTGCGAAAATCTTCTTGTCGTGGATTAGATTTCAGTATACATATTGTTAATCTTCATTTCGCGCCAGAATAAATTAGTTTGCGCGCAAAAAATCACAAGGTTTGTCCCACTTCGTGTCCACCTTCTGGAGATACGCCGGCATGGTAGCTGGAATACATTACCGAGGCGAAGATCGGGCATTATTTCCTCCCCGTCTTTTTTCCCCCGCGACGTTTGTATATATTTGTACTGAGAATGCTGTGCATATCGGTGGATTTTACTTCAGTCAAGCGGCTTCAGTTCCTGCGGCTTGCTACTCATCATAAAGAAGAGTGCCGGAATCGCTTTGTTCGCCTTTAACAGATTTGTTGTC